TGAGGGGGCAAGATAGGTATTGGGTGGGCAGTACCGCTTGATTCCATAGACTTCCTGTCCCTTAAGGCAGGATATAGCTGGGGGAGAGTCAGAGCAGGGTTCTGTGCAGAACAATGTCAAAGGCATGTTTCCCACTTGCCCAAGTACAAAGCTGGTGCTGCTGAAGAGTGGACACTGCCTGTCTGCCTTGGAGAAGAAACTGACAGCATGGGGAAAGTGGGCAGGACACAGTGAGAACTGGAACCAGCGGTCCAACCAGTTGGATGGACCCAGGCTGAGTAGGCAGCAGGAACAGACAAAGCCGTTAAGCTCTACCCCAGGCAAGCCCAAGTCAGCCCTGGCCAAAGGAGAAAACTTAATCCTTGTAGAGAAAGAAACCTCAGTTCTTGCCTGCTCATAACAATAACATCCACTGAGACCACAAGGAGAAAGTTTAAACAAGGAAGCTGCAACCAATAGTGAGGATACTATCATCTCTCCTGTTGGTCAGTGAACATCACTGTAAAGTTGACTGCTGTCGTGGAAGATTTGTGGAACCGGGGATGTGGATTCCAAGCCCAACTTGGTGGTTAATTAGTATTAAGAGGTTGAGCGAGTCACTTTGCATCTCTGTCTGTTGTCTCATCTATCAAATAGGGATATTCTTGCCCAATCTCTTTCCGGTTGCAAGAGATTGTATTCCTTTGCTGGATATGAATTTTCTCTTTCAAAGCTGACTGGCTAGCTAGCTCAACATAACCTTGATGCAACCTTTACTAAAATCGGGACGAGAAAAGGTCAAGCTGTCGCCTGCCAGATGAATATCCAAGCAAGGAGTACCGCCTGAGAGGGAAGACAGGCCAGCCTTTCTTGGAAAGTGAGGGCAGCCAGCACCTGTCTGTAAGCACCAGGGTTAGTACAGCAGGGTGCTTGGAAAGCAAACACCAGACATCTCCATTAGCAGGTGGTCATTCACACAAAGAACGTCTGTCATTTACATTTCACTCAGTTCCTAGAAACGAAAGCAGACAGGCATTTGCAATCCAGGCGTGCTGGACTCATTAGGGAGCTTCCCAGTGGATGAGAGGAATAAGGACACATAGAGCAACAGAGGGTCCTTTACAGAACTATATGAGTCCACACATGACTGTGTGGATCGGTACTAATAATTGTCATTACTGAGGATGAATGCCAAAGTTTACAGGTCTGATGCAACCTCCATCAAAATCCCAGCATGCTCTTTTGAAGAAATACACAAGCTGATTTGAAAATGTATATGGAAAAGCAAAGGCTCTAGAATATTCAAAATGATCTTCAAAATGAACAAAGTTGGAGGACTTACGCTACCTGATATCAAGACTTACCATAAAGCTACAATAATCAGGACAGTGTGGCATTAGCGCTGAAGGAGAGACAAATAGATCAACGGAACAGAATAGAATCCAAAATAGAGTCACACGTATACAGTTAATTCATTTTCTACAAAAATGCCAAGTCAAGTCAATGGGGAAAAGGAATGTTTTTTCATTGAAAATTGCTGGAACAACTGGAAATCCATTTGGAAAAAAAATGAATCTTGATCCCTGACTTTATTCACAAAATTAATTTAAGATGGATCATGGACCTAACCTAAAACCCTAGAACCATACAGCTTTTTTTTTCTTTTAAGATTTTGTTGGGGAATTGGGGAAGGGGAACAGCCAAGTTATTGTCCTTCAATCTTAGTTGTGGAGGGCACAGCTAACTCAGCTCCAAGTCCAGTCACCATCCGGCTGCCCGTTGGCAGCTCTTGGCCACTCAGCTCAAGGTGCCATGTTCAATCTTAGTTGCAGGTGGGCGTAGCGCCATACCATGCAGGAGTTGAACCGGAAACCGTGGTGTTAGGAGCACGTGCTCTCACCAGCTGAACCACTCGGCCGGCCCCCATACAGCTTTTTGAAGAAAACAGATTATCTCTGTGATATAGGAGTAGGAAAAGATTTCCTTGGGCAGGATACAAAAATAAAAAATTGATCACATGGTTTCATCAGAATTTAAAATTTCTGCTTATAAAAAGATACCATTAAGAAAATGAATCAGTCCCCGATGTTCACTGCACCATTATTTACAATAGCCAACATATGGAAACAACCTAAGTGTCCAATGATAGATGACTGGCTAAAGAAGATGTGGTACATATATACAATGAAATTTACTCAGTTATAAAAAGAATGAAATCCTGGGGCTGGCTGAGTGGCTCAGTTGGTTAAGAGCTTGCTCAAGAGTGCAAGCTCTGAGCAACAGGGTCGCCAGTTCAATTCCCGGCCCGAGCTGAGCTGCTGCTGAGCTGCCAACAGGTAGCAGGATGGTTCAGCTACAAAAAAAAAAAGGAATGAAATCCTACCACCTGCAACAATATGGATGGACTCAGAGAGTATTATGTTAAGTAGAATAAGTCAGACAGAGAAAGACAAATACCAAATGATTTCACTTATATATGGAATCTAAAAACAAAATAAATGAACACACGAAACAAAAACAAACTCATAGATACAAAGAACAAATTGCTGGAGGCCATATGGGAAGGGAGGTGGGGAAAAGGGTGAGAAAGGTGAAAGGGCTTAAGATGTACAAATTGCCAGTTATAAAAACAGTCATGTAAAGTACAGTATAGGGAATATACTGTCAATAATATCGTAGTAAGTATGGTGCCAGATGGGTACTATCAGGGTGATCACTCCATAAGTTGTACAAATGTCTAGTCACTATGTTGTACACCTGAAACCAATATAATATTGTATGTCAACTGTAATTGGAAAATTAAATTTAAAAAAAAAAAAGGAAGGGAATTCTGACCCATGCTACAATATGGGTGAACCTTGAGGACGTTATGCTCAGGGAAATGAGACAAATAGTATAATCAACAAACTACAGACCTGGAAAAAAATTTTCACAGTCATATAGCTGACAAAAGAGTTTATATCCAAGACATGTAAAAAGCTCTTACAAATCAACAGTAAAAATATAAACATTCCAGTTACAAAATGAGAAAAGACTTTAACACACACTTTACAAAGTAAGATATACAAATGGCTAATAAGCAGTTTTAAAAGTGCTCAACATTATTAGTCATCAGGGAAATGGTATTTAAAACCACAGGGAGGGCCGGCTGAGTGGCGTGATGGTTAAGAACTGGCTTGGGATGCCAGAGGGCCCCGGTTCGGATCCCACATATGAGGGCCAGTGACACTGCCCTCCACAGCTAAGATGCTGAA